TTTTTATATATATATATATATATATACCTATCCATTGTTGCATACAGCATTGTCTCTATTTTGTAATAAAATTACTGAAATCTTTTAAAAAGGTAAACTACAAACAGCAAATAAAGAACAGTGCCATTCTGGTAGCTTAGGTAACTGACATGTCTAGAAAGTTGTGATGCTTTCATGGATTTCTAAACTTTGTCCAATATGCTCAGTAGCTTTCCAAAAATTAATAGCTAAGAACTTCATTCTGTAGAGGTATAATGTCTAAATAACTCTGATACTTTGATTTTTTGAAACCATCCCTTAATCATTTCTTTAAATCAAGACAGTATTTAAAAACAAAGCAACCCCTATCAAGGTCTATCTGCATCTATCAACAAAAGTAGCAGCCACTTTTAGTGACTTGCCCAGAGAACTGCCATAATTTATTGGAACTTACCATTATGTTATTAAAGCAAAAATCTCTTCCCAAGCAGCTTTATAAAATCTTATTAAGGTATACTCAAACAGCAAAACATTAACAATGAAGGAAAGGGGGAAAGCACCTATGTGACCGTAACATCTAAACCCCAAAACACCTATTAGATTTTACAGACTGATAAAAGGAAAAATAATAAATGTCATATGTATGATGCTTTAGAGCTGTGGAACAGTGTTGCAGCTACCCTTCAGTCTTCTCGCTTATCTTCCTATTAACGTTCAGTAGACAGATTGCAAAGCAAGTACTCTGAATTTCACCATTCATGAACAGGTAAAGAATCATGGCCCTATATTTATCCACTGCTCTTCTAATTTGCTTGTTATATTCCTCTGTTCTCACACCTTTTGACCTCTGCTGAATACAGTCACATTTAATGCAGTTCTTGCTTATTCATTTCATCTCTGCAGAAAGGGTATGTTCTTTCTGGTTTCAGAACTTGACAGGCAACAAGCATCCTTGATTTATACATGCAAAATACCCTAAACAGCCCTTTGGATAGCATCTAGGTTTTTAGAGTGAAAGTACGAAGAGCCAAGTAGGAGGTAAGCATACAAGTTATCTAGGCAAGAGAGAACAAGTGGGAATATTGCGGCTCACCAGGCTACAGCTCCTTTTCCTGGACACTCCTCGAGCAACAGAGCAATATTACACCATCCTTTAACAGGATCTGAGGCTTGGCATAGGCTGGATTATCAAAGTTGATGGTGCAGATGCAGCCATGCTCTAAATGAGAAGGGATGGGAGACAGCCCTGTGACCAGTAATGCATCTGTCACATCGAGTAAGTCTAACTGGAATTGTCATGGACCCAAGTCTATGCCTTGTTTAGTGATGGATCAGTTGAGAGAAAGCCCTAAATAGAATTTTATAGCACAATTTGTGCTGCAGGTTACTTTACCTTACAAGAATTGATAAAGTTTGAGGTAGGAGGCTGGGACAGATCCTTTTCCCTTTCTTGGCACTGATGGAAAAAGTTATTCAGGTATGGATCCTAAAATGATAAACGTTCACATTAATGTATATTACAGAAAGGATCAGAATTCAGCTCCATAAACTGGTTACAACAATCACGTGTAATACTGAAGAACACACTTGGTCCCTACTGCCTTAGACACAAGATGCAAAAAGACAGATTAACCTATTTAGCCCAATCCACTGGCCAGCACAACTTGCTATATACAACGGATTTCTGGGTGCTTTAACCGCTGGTTTTCTCAGTGTTGTAAGCAGTTGATTTTTTCCTCACAATCTCAATGGCCAGATTATTTTTTTTTGTTCCTGGTGCTCACAATTTATTTTCTTGCTGTTTAAACTGACATTCCATGATTTTTCTGTTGGTAAAATCTTAAATAATTTATATTTCCTTAATGTGTGAATTCCCTCATTGTCACCTTGCCTGTCTACGTTCAAATAACCTTTAAAATTTAGAGAAATAAGTTTGTACAAGATTTTAAAATATCTTTCAGACACTCCTTGACACTTTTTGTTTGCAAGCAGGGAGCAGAACTAAGAGGAAATTCAGCTTACCTGAGTATTTACTGTCGATACAACAAAAGTAGAGACTTTGAATAGTGGTTTCCCACTATCTATCCATTTTACATCACAGCCGATCTGCTATTAAAACAAAAACAAAATACATTTTCCAACTTATTTCCTACTTATTCAAGTCTGCATCAAATTCTCACTGCATAGCTTTGCACATGTGCATGCATGAATTGTGCTGGCTACCGTGCTTTCACTACCGTAGATTTATCACAATACAAACACACTTTTTCAGCACAAGCCCACAAACGTTATCATTCAAGAGACCAGATCACTGCCCCACCCTGTCCTCATGACAATAGTAAAACAAACACAAAGAGGCAGAAATATTCCAAATTGGACAGGATCAGTGGGAAAATATGATATTACTCCACAAAATTGGAGAACAAATCATGATCATGGATCACGTCAGCCAGAGAATGAGTGTCATATGGCCTGAGTTTGTGAAAAGAGTTCTTTTTGACCGCTCTCATTCATGTTTTGGAGAAGTTAGGTATAATATTGTAGAATATACAGTTATAAAATACACTTTTTCCACGTACACCTGTGAATCAGCAACATACGACTTTCAGTCCAGTGGTACTTATATTAGTTTATATACCCAATGATATGAACATGAATATTCTAAAACAGATAACCTATTTATTACTTACACTTCCAGGTAAGTGTAAATGTAAATCTGATCTCATGTAAAACATCTGCAAATAAATGCTCTGTGCCATTTGAATAATAAGAAAGTAGGAATTAATAATACCTTTCCACTAGTTGGTTCTTGAAGGCTCAGGTAATTGGGAGGCAGACTGCTTGCCACTGGCACGTTGTGTTCTTGGGAAGCTAACTGGGCATCTTTCAACAAAGGAAGCCATGCGTATCCCACTGTGCACAAGAAAAAACCAACATGACTCTTTTTCTTTGGAAAAACAAGCTTCTCAAGTTCAAAGGAAGACAATAATATCCAGACAGAAATTCTGCAATCCTTATTTGAATGTACATCACTTATAAATATAATTGAAAGTAATTCTACTACAGGTACCTGGTGTTTCCAGAGCCTCTTTCTTTTTGGCATTAGCTTTTGCATTTATGTCACAGGTGACATGATAAAATGAAAACAGAATGTGGTGTTTCTTATGGAGTTGAGTGGGAAGTTCAATTTTCACCTGAAATGTAAAATGTTACACCTCACTTTAGTTTAAAAATCGATCAAACCAGGCATCAGAGATGGTCTATAAGAGCGACACCTCTCCCTACACAGCGGTCTAAGCACAGCCTGCCTTTACTGGCTAATATTTGTCTGCAAGGGTCATAGATGCTCCCTTAAGGAAATTGTTTAGGATGATCATCCAGCACTTTTACTTAAACCAGCTTTTTTCCTCTCTGTCTTTTGGATGAATATTTGCATTTATGATGAAAGAGCATAAGATGAAAGAGGACAGAACTAAAGAGTCATGGGACCTGCTCAGAAGTGATCACCTGCACTCGAGCAGCCATAAACAGCCATCACCATACTCATATTTTCAGGACGACCAACTCCAAAACTGAAATGACATCTCTGCTACTGCTTCATCATCACTTCATGGCAAAGACCAAGTAATAAAGGCTGACATGAAAATGAACTTATTTATGATTTCTGCTCAGTCTTAAATCCCATATCATGTCGTCCATGAACTCCTACAGATTGGGTTTGAGGTATTATTATCAAGCTATTGGAATAAAAATACAAAGTAATCAAAACATGTTACCTTAGGAACTAATATAAAAAAGACCCCTTGCCCTTGTCAGCTATGATAGTTTATCCAAGCTAATCCTAATCTTAAAGTATTAGAAAATGTTGATACATGCTTCCAGTGATAAAATTGGCTTATGGCTTATCTACTACTATAAACACAGATATAAAATGGGCATTTAGAAATGGAGATTAACACAACTTTCTTGATAACATACTACATTCTTTTAAAGCCTGCACTTGTACTAGGAAAACTTAGGACAGGTGCACATCTCTTCTAGCCAAATCAGCTATTAAGATCTCAGTTCAGCTCTTTGTTCAAGTTGAAAGTAACCTGCCCAAACCAGATAGCTCACTAGCATTACATGAAGGACATTTTCAGATGCGTTAAAACCCAAAACATTGCTCGCAAAGGAGTAGCAGGAGGGTTCAAGATCTCTGAAGATGTAATGCTTTAAGTTCCACCTCAGTTCCTAAACATGAATCTTAAAATTGATACTTCACATGTAGTTGTACATTATTTGCTGGTCTTGACCCAGCCATTTTATCAAAGTAAATTTTAAATGAAAAAGGAAGTTTCTCCAAGATCAAGCCAACAGTCTGGAAAACACTAGCTATATACTAACATTGTTTGCCAGCCTTATCATTACACATAAAGCAGTAGTGGAAAATCCAGAACAGACACGTGGTATTCACAGGCCATCAAACACAATAATCACTGAAAAGGTAATATTAATTCCACCCGCAAAAAGCCTGGGGAATCAATACTTAGTGTTGGTGTAGCTTAAAGATGCACATGCAACAAACATTTGGCAAAGGCCGAGGTATGAACTCTAGTCTGTACCTGCATCCTCAAAAGCACTAGCTAAATGACTTGCTGTACAAGTCACTGTACAGTCTGTTCAGACCACTGGATCAACAAAAATGTCCCAATGTAGATCTTGTATCTCAGAGAGGGATTTGTTCTGATGTTTGGCTCCACCCTTCAACATAATGTTTGCTGTTTCCATTAAATTCAGAGATGCAGCTGGACCCTTAATCTAATCTAGACATGCATTTTAGAGAGCTAGACTGTTTCTAATTAATTCTACAGCATCTTAACTGTACTCAAAACATCTTACAGAAGGATGGATTCACTGAGTTAAGAAAAAAACCCAAAATGTGAGACTGTATTTAAATCTACATAACACAGGCCTGTCCGGATACACAAGCAATTGTAACAGAAGTATTCTTTACACATATTTTTCTGTCTCACTGGCAAACATGTGGGATTGGCAAACGTTTAATGAAAGAAAAAGCAAGACTGACCTCATCATAAAAATCAGGATTCTGGGAATGATGTAGCACAGCAGTGTAGGCTGCAGTTGTAAATAATGGTCCACCTGGCTTCCCATAAATACACTGATAAAAGTAACATACTTTAATTACGTTGTGAAATTCTGCTGATGATACTAGTCTTGGTATATCTAATATAATAAAAATGCGTGTACATTGAAAACAGTATCATGAAAGATTGATAATTACTTTGATCAAATATTAAAAGAAATATTTTAAGTGCTCAGACCTGCAAGGTTTTTTTATACACACTTCCAGTAAAAGTCCATTGATTCTGTAAAAATTACCCTACACTCTACTAGGCAATGCAGACTCCTTAGATGTCTTCCTTGCTGTTATCAATTTCAGAGTTTTCTGCAAAACGTTTTACAAATGCTATTTCACTTTTATGCAGCTCAATACATAATACAATGCCTTTACTGACTTTTCAACATTACAAAAGCTGCACCAGTTAACAATCTCCTTGCTGGCAGAGTCCAGTCTGGAGAATCTTGATTACTGAGTGATGGCAACTTACTTTATTGGTGGGGAAACTAGAGTACAACAATACTATGCAATAGCCTTTGGTCAATAGCAAAGTTAAGAATTAAGTCTAAGGTTCTCCTAATTTTCTGCCTCATTCTCTTCAATCATGTATCCTGAGCTCAGTGACAGATGTAGGGTAAACAGTAAATTTTACAGCAAGAAAGTTGCTCTGTAAAGTGGTTAAGTTTTCCAATATTGTCATCTTTCCCCTCCACCAGTCAGGAAGCTGGCACTGCAAAACAGCACTGTAAGCTGAATCATTATGACCAGCTGGGATCAAACAGAACCACAGCGTAAATGTAGAAGGATGCATGACAACATTCATCCTTTAATTGTTCCAAGTTAGTACAGCCCTGATTGCTGGGTTTTATAAGTAATGTCCTCGGATACATTGTTCTCTGAATATACTCTTGTGGCTCACCTTCAGTGGCTTTGCTCCTTCTTCATCAGAGCTTTTAAATTCAATGCCCACTGTTATATTCCGTGCCTGAAAGGAGAGGAATGTATTAAAGCTTAGATCAGAAGTGGGGCACCCATAAAAACACAGGCAAACTATAAGGGCTGAAATAAGCTCTTTTCAAAATCTAGGAGAAACATGCAGATGGTGTATCAACATTTAAAATGCCTCTAAGTCACAGCGATATCACTAGAAATATTTCCAAGAAGCACTGCCAAAATACAAACCAGGCATCAAACTGACTGTGTAGAAGCAGATTATAAAGTGACCAGCACTTACCTGTGTCTTGTCCTCAATTAATTTTCAACCACCATAAAATGCAAGTAGTACTAAAGTTTAAGAACTACAAATATTATTCAGATTAATTTTATCTGCACACATAATTTCATTAAAATACAGCACTTCTGAAAAAGTTATTACCACATTATCTTTCTTTGAATCACTGATATAACTTAAAATTAATCTGTAGATTCATTTCCTTATAGATGTACCAATGTTTTATGATTGCAAAAACTGAAAAAGATCAAAAGCCGTCAGTGACCCGCATCACCATTTTCCCCTCCTTTATGATGAGTAATCCTTCATTTCAATGAGAGCTCATGCAGCACAGTACTACCCAATGTTGGCCTGAATTGGTCACATACGTTACCTTGTTGAAGTATTTTTGGCTATCATACTTGAGATGTTTTGGATATATGTATATTTGGTTCTTGTATACTCTGTAAGGTCGAGAATATTTTGTTGATTCCTGTACAAACTCCTCAATTTCCACTGTAGGTTGATGCTCCTTTATGTCATTGAATGGCTTGATTGGAATAAAAGACGAAGTTACACAATCTTCAAAAGAACAGAAAAGAAAACCATCACATACTATGTTTATTTTTACAGTCTTACTAGTATGAATAAATAATACTGAGATGCAACAAGTAAAATCCTGCCTTATATTTGCACAGAATAAGCAATGCTGAGATGCAACAGGTCAAATCTTGCCTTAAACTGCATCCATGTTACCTCAGAGTAACTACAATATATCATCCTTAAATGGTTTCTCTCATTTGAGTTAAACAGTACAGTGCTGAAAACCTCTTTTGACACACACAGGATTTGATGTCATTTGATGCATAACAGCACCATTGGTATACAGACGGTTTCAACGGAATATACTGAAGTGATGCTTTTTCAAATTAATTTTATAGCTCAATATCTCATTTAAGTTTTTCTATTATCTGAGAACATAGTAAATGAAATCCAGAAACAAGTAGTGCAGAACTGGATTAAATATATGATGCAATTGGGTAACTGAAATCAGATTGAGAAATAGAAGATGAAAATAAGCACCCTGTCACCCAGACAGCGAGAGACTAAAAATGGATAGAGTATACTCCACCTGTGGCATTAAATCAGTGAGATATTTAACTTCAACATGGAGAACGCAAGGGCTGTTTGCACAAAAGCAGCTGAGAAGAGTGACCAACTTCGGGATGTCTCGAGCTTTTTTGGGGAAAAGCAGTTTGAAGGTCCTGCTTACAAATTAATTCCTCAAATCCTAGAATAACCCACAGGAAAAGCCTACCAATTTGTGGTGGGGAAGCTGAAAGAAGGTTTCCTTCCTTCCTTTTAAAGTAGCACAAGAGGACATTGCCAGTTTTAGGATAGTGCAGGTCCTCTGCAGCCCACGCAGGTAGGAGGAGAAGCGGCCTTATGCCAGCTATGGCAGGGTGGTTTCCCTCTGCTTTCTTTCAAATAGCCATTGAAAATTTTCTTCCCAGCCTGCTGTCCACCAAAATAAGAATGTGTCCAATTCACATGTACACCCAGCCAACAGATATAGCTCCTGAATTAATCTGGAAAGATCCATCTAAGAACACTTTTGTCTTTCCCAACTAAAATTAGCAGCATTAAAAGGGAAGAGCTAAACTAAATCACTTGTATTTGTCATCCAGAAGCAACCAGCATCTGCTGTAGAGAAGCCTTGAGAAGGTTTATTTGCTCTTCTGCTACTAACATTCCCAGTACTTGGGAGACTCTGCTCAGTGCTCTTGGCCTACAAAGCTAGGATGGGCAACTTTCTGTTTGGGCAAATCTCAGGCAACCCATCTTAAAATATGAGGATATGTTATGTCTTATAATTTGGCCAGCTGCCTCTCAAACTTGATTTATAAGCATTCTGATTGTGTCCATTTTTGAACATCATTAACCTTGTTTTTCATTAGAGAAATCCAGAGACCGACCCAAGGATGCGAATGCAGTGCTAAGGCCTCTCTGCAGAAGTCTTTCTGTGCCCTCTGCACACTGCACATCTAGCAGCCCACAGAAAATCCACAAGGAAACAGAAATAGTGTTGAATTGAACACAAAAAGGGGAGTAAGTAATAAATAGGGGTTTTAAATACCAATAGCTCAGACATGAGAGCAGCGATAGCCTGCAGAGTGTGAGAAGAAGCAGTAATAACAGGAGGAAGCCAGCTAAACACCAGAAGCTCCTGCAGCCAGTTGTGAAGGTCTGGTCTCTCTGCGCCTCACTTCCATAGCACATACACAGAAGCACAACACACGGAAGCAACAGCCCAGTTTGCTGCCAGCCGCATGGTGCTCTGCTACAAGCTGCTCTTCGTGACTGCCCTCCGCAAGAATGGAGCCTCGCAGTTCGGGGTTTAATGTGTATTTTAGGGGGGAAAGCAGGGGATGTAGCAGCAACAGTACCTGCTGCCCTACGGCCAGCTTTGGGGCCCTGACTTTTCAGTGCAAAGGACAACAAATAGGTACCACGCAGCACAGGTGGGAGCTTCAGGAAGCTTCTTCCTCTTCCCCTTTGCTAGAGCTATGTGAGTTTGGCTTCCCCCCGATGCAGCAGAAAAGGCAGAAGTTTGGTTTCAGGTTAGTCAGTTACTGTTAGACAACATCCCTTGATAACACCACTGGCTCCAGCTCTTGTTGTAGATACAGTAAATAAAGTCTTACAAAACCAAAGACCTACTTCTGTTGTCTAATGCAAATTGATACTGATGTGAAGCAGGGTAGTGTCGAACCCTTGAGATGCAATTCTGTCAAATTCTTGACAAGATCTTTGGCCCACATCCTTTTCAGTGGCGTTTCTTGGCAATAAAGGATTGCAGCACTAGCCTATCATGACTCATATTTTGGGTGGGAAGGAGGTGTTATAACAGAACTGGTTACTGCTATTATGAGGCTTCCTTCAGAGCCAGCTGAAGTCAAGAGTTTTCAAGGAGATTTTAATTAATACTACAGCATGGAAGTTTTCTGGTACAGTTTTTAAATTATTTTACAGCCTTATTCACAGTAAGACAAATTTTTCCCATATCAAAGAAATGTTTAAACCGTTACTCTTTAGAGTGAGGGAATTTTCATTGACTTTCCAGAGAAACTAGACATTTTACTAGTACATACCCTTTAAAGCCAGAGTTTCAGTTGGCCAGATGAACACCGAGTTGGGTAACAGTACAAGGCCCAAGCTGCTTTGCACCATTTTGTCTACTCCAAGCTATCAGTTTCTTTTAATTTCAAAAATAACAACTCCTTTTGAAATGTTAGTGAACTATTTTTTTATCTAATACCATATGAAGATGGTATAAAGGTGTGTGATGATAGACTTCAGAGGAATTCAGTGGTCCTGAGCTTTCTGCAACAGTGGCTCACAGAAATGTGGCCCTTGAAACAGAAAATTTAAAGAGAGATAAAAGGGTCCAGTTAGAGGCATCTATCTTAACAGTTGCTGCACTGATGCCAGAGTGGCCTCTGAATGAAGTCCTCCATCTAGTCTGCATTCTTGAAACCAGCTGCATGTCCTGTATGTGCTGATTCACAGAGGATATGAGCATCACAGTCCATCAACAGTGCAAGGCTATTACCCCCAAGCTACAGAAGTCCACTCAGCTTTTTGGCCTAATCACTTAGAGACCAAAAAATGTCTTTGGACTTTCATCACATGTGGATTCAGCATGTTGTGCTCTGTATTGCTGGGGTATATCTGGCCAGGTATAGGACAAAACAAAGAATCGTGTAATTAAATGAAAACAAATAAAGAACACTTCGCTACATACATTTTTCTATACAACAACGGACACTTCTACCAGAACTATCTCAAAGAAGCAATCATGGCTGCAAAGCCTATGACAATGTTCTATTTAATTATAATAATTAAAGTGGAATCATACTTGAATGTTCCAAAGGAACACAATCAACTGCAATCTCCAAACAGCCAGGTATAGTCTGTATTTTGCTAATCTTCTCTGCTCTGCAATGACAGAAATGAAAACATTTTAGAAAATTAGGGAGATGAGACCCATCATAGGAATTAATCTAAAATGAAAAACAAACCCCAATTTAAGATATAAATATATATTAAACACATTTAAAATACATCTATTGGCTAATAAATTAAAATCAAATGCAACAGCAGGAAACAAATGTGGTGGGGTGGTTTTTTGGTTTTGTTTTTTTTTTTCTTTCTTTCTTTCTTAGTCTCATTCTTGCCTTCTCTTTGTAAGCAATACTACAGCATATTTTACAGAATAGGAAGAAACTGATGAAACAAATCTGATGAGAATTATCTTATCTACTTTTTCTTTCTAAAATCTGAATCAAATGCTCTCTAAAAGGAATTCAATGACCACTGAGACAAGATTTCACAGCACCATGGTTTCTGCAAGTGCCATGGCGAAAAAGAACGAAGCTATATTCCTTGTGCCCAAGCAATCTGAGAAGTGCCAAAACTGTGATGCTAAATTCCTTTTATCTAGGAGATGCTTTAGACAGACAAACCCAGCAGTGGCGACTCTACTAAGAGTAGTGAGACTTTCAGTAAAGATGGCACAAGAGATTAAGAGCCTGATCCAATCCCTGTAGTTGACATTCAAACTTTCTATGATCCGATTTTATGTAAATGGAACAGGAGAAGTAAATTACATTAATTCATTTCTGGGCACATTCAGAGTAGATAGGACAGGAAGAGACTAATGGTTCAATTCTCCTGTCACTTATCCAGTAAAAACAGACTGCTCTAGAAGTAACCTGATTTACACCTGGGTGGAAGACTATCCATCCAAACCATTATTCACCAATTTACACACTGTCAAAGACTTGGAGAAGTTTTTTCTTTCCAGTATCCACTCTGCAGTTTGTCATGGAGACTCAAACAAACAAAAGCAAGGAGTGGGGAAGCCATTAAAGAATGCTTTTTCATTTTTCTCTCCCCCTCACTTTTTCTTTTTTTTTTTTTTTTTCTTTTTTTTTTCCTGAGATAATGTTCTCTTGGTTACTTCACCTGCATCTCCCCTGATGGAAGCTAATTTAAGGAATTACTATCTTTAAGTTATAATAATAACTTTATAATAATAAACCTTTATTAACGTGCCAAATGAAGTTTCATTTTTCCTGGAAAGTCCAACCTAAAGCACTCTTTGGCAGATAATAGGCTAATATGAAAAACACTAATTTAATACGGCTATTTCGGCACACTGTTAAATGAAGAAAAAAAGCTGTGAAAATTATTCTGCACAGCTTTATGAAGCTTTTATTCCTTCTCAAACCAAATTAAAAACTGTTCCTTACCTTCTGTATTCTGCTATTAGTTTAATCAAATCTTCCACGGAAATTTTATTACTTTCTTGCCTGAATAAAGGTGAGAATCGGGAGTCTCTGTCAACATTTCCCTGATTATCTTTAAACACTGGTCTATAAAGAAAGAAAAATGACATGTTTATAAACACTCACCCATATATATTTGAACATTTGAAATTGTCATGTAATCTTTTAACACGGCTATGATATGAATTCTTACAGAAATTCAAGGGCTCCCTGCAGAGCTTCACACAAGAAAGCTCTGCTGAGCTGTACACTTGCAGGAGTATAGGCAATTTCAGTTTACTTGCATGTGCAGTTCCAGCCCTGCAAAGACTTAAGACCTTTTTTAACCTTAGACAATGCAGACAGTCCCCACTGTCCTCAGGTGCAGTGTGGCTGCTCGCAGTTCAGAGTTGCAGGGGTTTAATGCCAGAACAGGTCACCACCTAGTTCAGTGGCCACCAATTCCCCCCCTCCTCTGTAGCTAAGACTCACTGGGGAAAGCTGGGAAGTGTACAGCACCTCGCCAGAACCAGCTTTCTGCTCCCACCCACCCACCGTTCCAGCACCCTGGCTGCAAGGCTGCCTTCTCCAGTCTCTTGGCAAGCTCTTGGGGCAGCCACAGAGAGGCCATCCCTGGCTGAAAGCCATTACCCTTGAGCCTGATGAGACTTTACCATCTTGCTCACACACCAAGCACATGATTCCTCACTTCAACAAAGAGACTGACTCCTTATTTCAAGAAAGCATTTTAAAGAATTCATTACATCTATAGGTAGTTTCATTGAAGAAGTTATTATCCAATGAAAATAATAATAATTTTATGTAACGGAAATCATAGCAAGATGTCAAATCCCAACCATTACATCTCACCACGTAAAGAAACGTATGCTTTTGCAGAACCAGGTTAGAGACCACTACTGAATCTTCCTACACATTACATCTGTTCTGTGTTCTCCAGCAGCATGACACCAACACACTGGGGCTTAGCTTTCCTTCACAAAACAAGTTCGTGGAGCATCAACTAATTTTTTGGTGAACCAGCTACAAAGCGTCAAGTGAAAGGGAAGAAGAGGATATCCGTCTATAACAGAACAATAAGTATCAGCTGTTGTGCACACAGGAAAACATTCCTAGATATTTCCATTCATGCTCATTGACACTTGCCGGATTTAATTAAGACATTCCAGTGCCCTTTGTACATCCCCAAGGGTCATGCATGCTGGCTGGACTGGATAATGTAACAGCTATCCAAATTAATGAACCTTGGAGTCAACTGTAGTATGCAAAAAGATTGCTTAACAAAAGTAAAATGTTCTTGACACTAAGTGCTGTTCTGTGAATCATTTGGCCAATCTTGCTTCCTTAATTTACTTCTCTGTTCCACTGCCAGTGAGAAGAATTGATGCTAGCACAAATTGTTGCCAGATGCAAAACAATGGAGTAAACCTTTGGAAGAGGATCCCAAGGATAAGTATAAATGCACCGTGTCCTAACTTAATTAACTGAGAGAAGCACCACTATTTCATTTCTTTGTAACTGTAGAGAATAATCTACTGTCTTCTATCACATTTTTGCTTCCAGCAGTCAAAGGGAATAAGGTCCACACCAACACGCCTGTCAAAAATCTTAAGTTATTAGGGAGAAACCTGGCCTAATTTCTGGCAGCCACCACTTAATTTACAAATCCTATTAAACTGCTGTCAGGAAAAAAAAAAAAAAGAGAAGAAAAAATATAAGATTTCATAATTATTGCAGTTCTAGTGACACTATGTTATTTCTTGGACTTTGGCTTCCTTCTCCAGAATACCAGAGAGGACTAAAACATTCAATGAGTGATTTCTGCCATGCCGCTGGGCTCTGCAATACGATGCTGAGCAAACCCAGGCTCTGTTGGAGCTTGTTAGCTAATTCCAGTCCAGGCTCTGACACCGAGCAAATCACTGCTCAGCACAGCAGGGTGCTGGGGCACTTACTAAGGCAGGGTTGGGGATGTTCATATTGCAAAAGGAAAATAAACCAGGTCTGTGCTGGAAGTAGCTCACTCCGGGTCAGCAGTGCTGAGCACTGTGCATTGCCTCCTGGGAGGTGCAGGGACATGGCACCGTCACCTTCTCCCCTTCGGCCACTCTGATTTGGAGTCAGAAGGGCTTTACAGAGTTCTCCTTCCTACAACCACTCCTCCCCAGCATGAGTGCTCCCTGGGAATCATATACCCTACCTCTAGAACTGCTCCTTGTCAGTTCAGCAGCATATCCCAGCCTAAATACGGCCAGAACAAAATTAAAGGCATGAAACCAGGTATCTACAATACAAAACAGGTAAGTATTTTCATCCCTCCAACTTACACACAATACTCCACTTATGTAAAGCTCTTGCCACTACAAGAGCAATTGAGATGTCCATTGAAAACAAGATAACCCTTCTGAAAAACAGGTATGTTTGATGCACTCAGGGAAGAGTTAGATAGCTTTTTGGTGCTCAAACTTTACTGGTGTCTCCATTCCCCTGGCTCATTAAAGCTGAAGAACTGCCAGAGCAGCAAGCATTACGTGTATTATGTCTGCAGTTAAGTAACTGCAATACCGTGTTTTGCTAGATCCTTTCAGGCTGCTGGGCACAGGTGGAGGAAGAGTGCTCCTTGTCACAGTGAACATAGTGAAGGCATTTGAGAATGACAACTGTTACATCAAAGAAAATAATAATACACATAATAAAACACTTCTACAATCCAGAAGTCCAATATTTGTCTAATATATAAATAATTCCTTACTTCCAGTTACTTATTTACTGGAGAGATTTTAATAAGAAAAAATGCACAGAACTAAAATCCTGAAGAGATTCTAAAGGTGTTAATTTAGGGGAAAACAAATTAATGGATTTTACTAAAGAAACTGAAATATCATCTCAGTAGTTAAAGTGTTTCTATGATTCTAACATTCTTCTGACATTGTTAGGCAATAATCCACAACGATAAAATTTCTTTAAGCATAGAAAACCTACACAGCATTCATAATTTGACACTAAGAAAAGCTACTTTTTAACTAGTGGTTTACGATTTGTGGAAAAATTGCTCACTTCCAGGGCTACAGATTCAGTGTGAGCTCTGCAGCTACTGTAAATCAGTACAGCCTTGCTACCTTCAGCTACATCATCCTATGCCAGCTGAGAACCAAACCAGCAGCTGCACAAGCTGCTGTTGAAGGATTCAAATATTAGGCTGTAAAACGTGAAGTTTACAAGGGTGGAGGGGATTGGAAGGAATAACAGAGTGTAAAAACTAATCTCTCTGAGTGAAGCTTCCCCGCATCTACAGTACATAGCTCAGGCACACATTCGCAAACTTTGGCAGTTCTGGAAGGAATAGGAGAATGGAAGATGGATTTGACACACTGTAATTCTAACACATACCGTAATTATACCTGCAAAAGCATACAGACACCAGATCCCACCAACGCAAGTAAGAAATCAGGGAGGAACCCTGAGTCATGCTTTTGAACTACGCTAACAAACTGGATGCCACATAGGCTAATTAAGAGTTTCAGTCACAGGCACAATACTCAACTGTCAAGATTTTGGCTCGCTGAATGTATACGTAAAAATCGCACCGTGGCCATCTGTAACTGATTTAAGGGGGGGAAATTTCCACACGAAAACAGGAGCGTGGTTAATGCCAGAATGAAATAACTGGAAAACACATTTCCAAACCCAGGGTTTTGCTATTTATCATAGCCAAAACATTTTTTCCCCTGTAGTGAGACAGCCTCCTGTGGAAACTTCTATTTTCAAGCTGTGAAAATATAAATAGATTTTATAGGGTGAAATTATACTTTGCTTTTACCAAAGTCCTGAGTAATGTTAATATTTAAACAGATGTGAGTGCAGAATTTGACCCAATGAACTAAATAAATTCCTTGTGCAACATCACTGATACCAACGAGTTCATACACGTGGTGTATTTGTCAATGATTTTTGAACTGTTGTCTCATAATGTGATTTAAAATTAAAACTTTTAAGAGCTGATAAACCCATCCAAGTACATTTTCTGCAATTAATTCTACAGATGGGAGGAAAGCTTTTTAATGGTATGGGTAGTGAAGCACTGAATTAGGATGCCATCCAAAAATACTGCCTGCTGGAACTGAGGGATGTCTCCAAACCCCAGTTATGTCCATGTGCAAGCCATTTGTGTAACACACACACAACCCTGTAAAAGTTGAACTCACTGTACATTTGCTAACACCACAAGCATATATTCCCATTTATATTTGGGAAATCACAGCCAGAAATATTGGCTAGACAAAAGTACTTAGGAATTACTTGATCTTGTCCTAGGGAAAACAAAAATATAGTATGATGCAGAGGTCTTTTTGATCTTATTTTCTAAGACTGTGGACCACATGTAGAAAAAGGAGCCTATAATTTGGAAAGAATACCCAGTGAAACAAGTCATTGCCATTTCTGAAACTGAAAAAGTATGAGACTAGAGCTGAGGGTTTCCACTGACAAAAAGTCTCAACAACACAGACTGAGGAATACTCCCAGGTATTCGCATACCCAAAGTACGGAGCATCACACAAGCAAGCTCATCTCAAACACAGCTCTATTGCCTCATTCTGCCTCATGTCCTTTGCCACTTTCCAGACTGTGTCAATTAACCATTCTGCATGGAATTCCAAAAAGACAATCTCTGTTCAGTTACCCAATACACACTGTTGAGTGCAGCAGCAGCAACTGCTGCGCTCCACTTAAATCAGTAGTAGTTAAGCAGAGCAATCCATGTGTGGAAAACACTTCTACTCACATGGCTGTGGTGACTGGAAGCTACTGCTAACATGTACCATGCTACTAGAACTTAGAAAAGTCACAAGCAGGTTTAAAGCTGGTGGAGCATTATTTATTAATCGAGCTTGATCTAATCAAGATTTTATTCCTTACTCCAAATCAATGTGGCCCGTTACTAAAAAATAAATTTATGCAGCTGTAATACTCTGTCTGAGATGACCAAGGAGCTGCCAACTGGTATTTTAATGATAAAATATCTGAAATAACAAAGAACAGAAAGGAGAGGAGAATCTTCTGAAAAGAACTATTTTCTCAGTGCACTCTATCTTGACAGGCATTTAAGGTGCTATCCACCTTGCAGGGCTAGAAATAACACTTTATTCATGTCTGTTAGACATCCCTTAGGCAGAGCAAGCGCAGACATGCAGCTACAGCTCTGGGCCGAGGCACAGTACTATGCCATGGTTTGAGCAGTACAGCCGTGGCACATCCGCAGCGCAGAATCTGCGTACCTGTGCATATGGCAAAGCCCGAGCGGTGCTTCTGCCTGCTCCCTTTCACTGAGAGGCAGCTAGGGGTGGCCACTTGGAGACTCTTACGAAAGGGAAACGCACTTCCTTCAAAATAAGAAGAAAACCTTTTTGTATTTTTCTTGCAAGAAACACTTTGAGATAAGATTTGCTGAAGATGTGGAATGATGTTTTAGCCTTCTCCGCATGCATGAGTGACTAGCCAGACCTGAACTAGTTAAAATCATCATGCTACCTAAAGATAGCTACTGCAACAACTGAGCTGCAGAACATATCACTGATGGTACTGCCACAGACCACCGGCAGGCAGGACAGAGTTAATAAAAAGCCTCAAGTCAGTCTGATGCCAGGCCTGCACCTCTTGCCATTGTCCAGTCCACTACAAGGTAAAAGTAGCTCTGTCCACCCAAGATATGCCCATCAATATAATTTTGATTAATGGTCCTTTGGCTACACAGAAGTAGTAAATATTAAAGAGTAACCTTGAGCTTGCAATGACAGAGCAAAACACATTATCTGCCTTTCTCTTCAGCAGGCATCTACTTCTCCCGTTGCTACTGGATAGTGACAAAAATGTTTGTCAACAAAAAATAAATTAACTCTTCAAACAGCCGTACCTTACTGCGTGTTTTCTCTTTTGCCATCTAAGCACCATATTCTAAAATCATAAACTTTCTCCTCCAGGCAGCAGAGGCAACTGTGCACTTCTGGTGCTCCACACCTCCACACCAGAAGCACACAGGCACATAACCATCCCTCGTGGCCACGGGCAATGCCACAATGTGACTTTTTCACCTAGCACTTGCTTGTCCTTCCTCCCAACAGCTTCAGGCAGCTCTCCACCTGGCTTGCCATGGTCAGAACAGAAGTCACAGAAGAGAAGCAATGCTTTCACTCAGCAATTCACGGCTTTCCTTTTTATAGGGCACATAAAACTCTCTATTCCCTGCTCTATGCATGGCAGAAAGGAGAGCTGTCACAGGGACACACAGGAGGGTCTCAGTCAGCGAACTCTCTCATCCTAGGGCAGCAGTAAACTGAGGAAATTAAAGACTGAGAAGGAAAAACCAGAGAGGGTAGAATTACATGGAAACTGAAGGGAGAACAAAAAGAAGAAAGCCATATCTGGATTTGTGAGGTAATTTGGTAGAAGGGTATCAAGAGACACAGGGATGTCTCAATCTTGAGGGCGAGACCAATAAGAAGTTATCCAGGAGGAGAGTGAGGAAGAACAAAAAATCCATTTCTGCCACTGCACTGACCTGCCAAACAAGAAAATAACAGCTATCTGTCACCTACTAACCACTAAAAATGCAAGAGCACCTGAAGCATAATCTCTCAATATCACCCCCAAGCCACTGTTTTAGGGGCACCATAACCTCCAAATCCTTGGTTAGATTTTTCCTAAAACCTGACAGGCTTCGTAACAAGCTTCAAACTTGTACACTTATATTTTAGGTGACCATTGTAACTGTATTTCAGACTGTAATTATCTTTGCAGGAAATTCTTCTGAGAACTGTGACTTTGAAATCTCTTTGGTAACTTTTAGCACCAAATTACTGGTGGAGCTCATGATAAACTGACATGGTGTCTGCTACCTTTGCTACTCCCTGGCCACTTCAAAACATACCTGAAGAAAAGGTTCCATCACAGCAACATTTAGTGAGAAAGTAATCAACATGCAGCTGTGTGAAAAATAGGGCAGTGAAATAACAAAGCTGCAGTATCTTCCGGAGTCCTGGACCACGCAGAAAGCTTTGTTCAGCTTCAGCCAGAAAAGTGGAAAAGAATGAAAGGATACAAGTCTCAGAGCAGAACAACCTGTAAGATGCTCATATAATACAAAAAGAATTAATTCATACCTCACTGACCAAGCAAATGGCATACGGTATTTCCCCAGCTTGCTGCAGAACTGTTTATTGGATTTTAACACTTTCTGTGCACACTACAAAAAAGAAAATATGAATGACTTCATCAATATCATTATAATAATGTGAAATGCAGCAGAGAGTACATCCAAGTACTTCTCTGCTGAAAAGGCTATAGTGACCCTAAAATAATTTAGCCTGATACTGCCCATAACAGAAGGTTCTGGGTGGACAGTAGCAAAGACATCACAGATGAATATGATGCTGCTGACGAATTAAGCCCCTTTACAATTCTTTCAGTCAGAATTGCATTAGTTACAGTTATTATTCCAGTTTTCTGTAACAATTTCTATGCAAACGCACTGCCTGCTTTCAGAGAGAAACAGGTGCCTACCCAACTTTGCTCGTATATGAAATGCACTAATTCATAATTTCTAAAAGATTGCTGAAACAGAGTTTCACTCTGCTAAGACCTAACTAGCATAGGAATGCACCATGAATGGATTCACATGTTACAGACAAAATGGTACTTCATTCACTCAATCAATAGAGCTTGGACATTTGCTTTCTTAGATGTGGGCCTCCTGTGAGATTATCCTGTTCAGCAACCACACACTGGTGAGATTTGTGAGCACATTTGCAATGTCTTCAGCTTCCAAGAGGCTGAGGCTGTCAGAAAAGGAACTGATGTTCCTGTTACATTACCTTAAAAGAATCAGGATTCTTAATGTAAGGTTCAGCACTGCTGGCAATGTTTCCCGTAAGCACCTTTTCTATTTTTGCTACTAATACGATCTCAGAATGAGGATTACTTATGGAGAAAAGAGCCTGTAGATAAAAGAGAGAATAGTTAAAAAGTACATAGCCATACTGGAGACATGAAATGCTGCCAGTGCTCTCTGTTGATGGAAACAGTTACAAACCAAATTCAGAAAGGATGATTGAGGATTATTATCTCTTCATATTCAATACAGCCAAACAGAAAATAAAGTCTTTGTGCTAGTGCCGAAGTAAGCTTGTGCACATGCAGCACCTTGCAGACTGACTCAAATCAAGAAGCAGTATGACCATGTTAGCATCACCTAACCTAACTGCTCCTCTTGGACAGCACTTGAATGCTGGCCTAAACCAGTCGCACCTCAGGGGAACGACAGGGAGAAGCAAAGGTAAAGTATGGCACTTCAGGGTAGGGCTTACAGCAACAGCAAGAATGTGGAAGTACTTTGAGTTTAATGCAGCACCTAGGTGTCACTTTAAGTTGCAATTTTGCTTGGCTGGTTTGGGAGAGGTCAGCAAATGAACCCAAAGATCACAGGAAACATTGGTGGTTTCTCTAAATAATAGACACTTTTTTTTCAAAGTTTTGATTGTAAATGGTTTTAAAGTCTATATAGGGAGCTCAAAAAATCAAGCATCCATACACAAGCACCATTGATACACAAAAAAGAGTATTCTTGAAAACAAGAACCACTGGTAGTACAGATAAATTCTCCGATGAAAATGAATACTATTACTGAACTAAAATAAGTCACACGAGTCACTAAGTCATGCAAGTCATATGCAGAATACCTGTTTTGGGTATTTCAGCCACTCTTCTGGGAATCCCTTGACCTGTGGTTCTTCCATCTCATTTGAGTCCACATTTTCAACGGAGCCATTTTCTAATGAAAACGAGGAACCTGAAATCATCTGCCTAACGAGTGTGTGGTTCAAATCCACATGAAAATCAGCAGAGATCTTCCTGCCATCCCTGACATCATACAGTGCCACGCTCACAAAGAAAGGCTCTACCTGGAGAAAACACCAGAAACATAGTATAGCGGTAACTGAGATCGAGGGGGTTAACCATCTTTTAATAGATTCCTGCAGCTAGAAAAAAAGAAAGCAAACAAATATTATTTACAAATTATGAGATTCATGAAAAACACATGCTCACACACCCCCTTGCAAAAGTTATTTTCCAACCACGTGATTGTAGAGGCTTTTAAAGGTAGTTTCTTAACAATGCGCCAGAACAGTAATTGACAGCTAACTCAGAAGCTCGCAAAATAAAAAAACAATATATTTGTCACAGATAATTTTTACAGTAAATGAATAGAGCCCCAGAGAAACATGTCACAGGATTTAAAAAATGTATTCAGAGTCATAAAAGAAAGAAGAGTGAGGGTGGGCTTTCCAGGGATCGTCAGAAATGCGGCACAAAGATGACAAATTTAAGTAGATGAAAAATGTTTACTGGTATGAACACAAATGTGTAGGTGTATTATTCTGGGGGAAACACATGTTCCATTTTGCTCGGAAACCAAGAGCATTCAAACTGCTCTGACAGTACCCACTTATTCTATCTCATAGTACCAGAGAATTAAGTCCTCTGCCTGTAAGTAACCCCCAAAGAGCCTCCATAGTTCTGATAAAATAAATCAGTCTCGGAATAAGAGTAACACCTTCCGAGCTGTCTGGAAATCAAAATCTTAAAACTTTGTAGATAAGAAATAATGCATGGTAGGTACAATGCTGTACGCTTTTTCAGCCTCTGTAGTGAATTATTGCATGCCCTTAGTATAGTTATCATTGCTTCATTTAAACCGTTATTCCAGTCTGCCAAAAAAAGTATTGATTACATCCGCTGAATATGCACTCACTGCAGAGGTCATCTTCAAATGAAATAAAATAAAAAAAAAAAAATAAAAAAATCAATGCCTCATACGTAATGTATGAAAGTTGAGTTGCCAGGACACTAGTTTCTCAAAACTTTCCTGCTTCAGATGAGAACTAACTAAATGCTACGGACTGACAGCTACATCTTGCTTTTCCTTGCCCTTTTTTCTTAACGTAAGAATAAGCAAAATTTTCTGGTTTGCCCTGTTTTTAGCTGGGATCTTCCACTAGATGAAGCATCTAGTCCTTTCTATTTCGCCTTCTCTTCTGTAATTTATTCTGTTTGGTTCTCGGTCTCTCTCTGAAAAACAAAAAAGCAGTTCACCAGCAACTAATATTCAGTTGCCTCCCTACATAGGTCTTGGCTGTTTAAAGTTGTTCTTCTTACAGCAATTGTTACGAACCTTGAGGATTTTAACATTTTTAATTCCCCATTGAACTGTGGCTAGAAGTCTGCAAAATATTTATTGAAAAGTTCATCAGTTTCATTATTTAATCCAAAGGGATGGGAAGAGGAGGAGTGAATGCAGTGTGCGTGCATGATACAGCTTTCCTTTTACCTTCTCTTGCCAAAGTAACAAGTGCACAGAAAGAGAGAAAAAAAAAAGAAAAGAAAAGAGAAAAATTGCATTGAGATAAGTAAAGCTTACGTTGGTTGAAGGATCATTTTCATTTTCAGTAACACAGGCCTGGAGATTCAAACTCAGGGATTTGCAGGTTATCAGGATCCTCTTTGCAGGCCTTTCTTCAAATGGCTTGATCACTGAGTTTGTCCCTGGAAACTCCTTTTTCTGAGGATTCAATGACTGAAAAAAGTTGGTCAATTCATTACATATGGGAAAAGCATGGCATTCCAAAACTAAGTAAGCTTTTAAAGGTCTTGACAATCACTGAAGCACCTGAAAACCTCAAAAAGTCATTGCTAGTATCTTCACATTACCATAGTAAATGAGTGTTATTCCTAATTTATAGATTAGGAAGCAAAGCAAAAGATTGCCCGAGGACATATATAATGTCAGAGGCAGAACTGGGGATCCAAGTTAGGTTTTCTATAATTTTAAAAGTTTTTTTCTTGTTTACTTACTGCTTCTGAAACTTTAGCTTTTAATTTCCTCATACAGATCGAACAGCCATATTTTCAGACTATAACACCACATTTTAGGATTACATTTCAGACCTTTCCCCTCCTTTCCCTTTACACGCCATACCACTATTTCAATTCTCTTAATATTTTTAATAATGGCGCTATAGTTGATTGACAACAGGTTCAAGTTTGAATATACACTGATCCTGATTTTACTTAAGTTTTCTTTTTAAATAAAACAAAGTTTCCAGTTATATTGCCACCAAATGTACATTCAGTTCAAGCAATAATATTCTTATAATCATGAACTCTGACACTAAATGATAAGCGAACTGCACTTCCTGCATTTCCAGCCAAACTTTTTTTTTCACATAGATCACAGAATCAGAAAATGTCAGGGGTTGGAAGGGACCTCAAAAGATCATCTAGTCCAACCCCCCTGCCAGAGCAGGACCACACAGGAACGTGTCCAGGCGGGTTTTGAATGTCTCCAGAGAAGGAGACTCCACACCCTCTCTGGGCAGCCTGTTCCAGTGCTCTGTCACCCTCACAGTGAAAATGTTTTCCTTACGTTAACGTGGAACCTCCTGTGCTCCAGCTTGCACCCATTGCCCCTTGTCCTGTCATTGGCCATCACCGAGAAGAGCCCGGCTCCATCCTGCTTACTCTTGCCCTTCACGTATTTATAAACATTGATGAGG